TAACAGCATTTCCCCTATCGAGAGATGTTTGGTCTTTTGGACCTTTTAAAAGTCTTTATTCGACATTCAACGCCATCACTTGATAAGACTCCAAAAGTGTTGAAACAAAATGGCTATTTTTGTAGTGATTTTATAACATATTTATATTATCATTTTTAATAAATTTTATATATATATATATATATATATATATATATATATATATATATATATAAGGCACACTGGAGTAATGAACTGAGGAATCGGAAAGCCATGTTCGAATCCATTACATTCACTTACGTGCTAATACCCTTGGGAAATGTGTGAATCGTCTTCTTCTCCCTCCAGCTATGGGTAAATTGCAGGACAGACTGGGTTCTATAGCCTTGGATGGCAACTAGTCTAGGAGAATTCAAAACCTGCGGAGGGTCGTTTGGGGACCTTGTGGCACGTCGTGCACCAGGTCTTTCTATTCGGCACTTCAAAAAGTGTGGATGGTCCTGCACGAAACCTTCAGCACTATAATCAAATCTCATGTGCTGTTGTCGGGCTGTCGGTTTCCTAGGAACTGATCTGCTTGACCCTCATATGCCGAATTCGACGGGAGAATCGAGTTATATATATATGCGTGAATGTGCATATACATGTGTAAACATGCATACATATGTATTTGTACATATATATTGATTTATTAAATGGCATATACATATACATGCATATTTGACAAGATATAGTTTTTAGGTATGCTATGTTAAAGTGTTCAATATGAACTATAAAGAACGTATGTAAATATAAAAGCTGACATTGAAGTCAACACCCAGAAACAACAGTCTGTTACATGCTTAAACGCAATCGTCAGGCATGACGGTTTTGTTTAAGCATGAAACAGACTGTCGCCTCTAGGTGATGACTTCAATGTTCGCTGATATTGGAGTCGTAGAAGGAAATTGTGTAGTATGTTTTTAACTGTTCAAAGGTGGATATTTTGAGATCAATATCTTTCTGAAAATCACGGGAGAAAGGCAAGCATTAGCTCTACATAATTGACTCTTTTTTCTTTTCGTTTTTTTTTTCATAATAAAATAATTTCAAGTTATCTTCTGTTTATACGTTATTTGTATGGATACACATAATTAAGTAAATCCTCTGTTTATAATAAACAGTATTAACAACATTTACCGGCATAAGCGCCGATAATTGTTTATGCAACATATGATATTACAACGAGCCTTTACTAAACAAATATGACAAAAAATACTCACCGTAAAGATTACGCTACTAATAACAGAGCCAGTGTTAATTCATCCAAATTGATTTTTAATATTCTTACATTAATAATACATTGTAAAACGTTTTTACACTTGAGGGACATTGCACGTGATTTCTCCATCAGAACACACTTCAAAATTGCATATTTAGGCATCGTAAATTATTTCATTACTTTGGAAATTCACTTTGGAAATTATTTTATTCCCAAAATACATTATACATGGTTTTATGGTAAGAATACATTTTAAACGATTTTATTTCAAGGATACATTTTCAAGAATTTTATTTGAAGGTATAATAAAAAATTTTACTATAAGAATGCATTGTAAATAGTTTTACTATAAAATGCATTGTAAATTATTTTATTATAAGAATGCATTGTAAAGGATTTTCCTAATAAGAATGAAATGTGAATGATATTATTATAAGAATGAATTGTAAAAGATTTTATTCAGAAATTCATTGTTAATGATTTTACGATTAGAATGCATTGCAAATTGTTATTACAGAAATGTATTATAAATAAGTTTACTATGAGAATGCACAATAAATGATTTTACTCAATAAATCCTTTTTAATGATTTTATTATGAGTATATATTGTAAATGATTTTACTATAAGAATATGCAGAAATTGATTTTAGTATAAGAATGCACTGAAAATAATTTTATTATGAGAATACACTGGAAATGATTTTATTATAAAAATAATTTTTAAATAATTTTACAATAAGAATCATTGTAAGTGATTTCAGTAAAAATGGAATATTTTATTACAAGAACACATTTTAAATGATTTTATTATAGGAATGTATTTTAAAGGTCTTTGCCGTAAGAATACATTGTAAATAATTTATCATAAAATAATTTTATTATACGAATGCATTGTAAATGATTTTACTATAAGAATATATTGTAAATGATTTTATTATAAGAATGAATCGTAAATGATTGTAAATAGTTTTATTGTAAATAGTTTTACTATAAAATGCATTGTAAATTATTTTATCATAAGAATGCATTATAAATGATTTTATTATAAGAATGAATCGTAAATGATTTCCTCTAAGAATGCCTCTAAGTGATGTCATTATAAGAATATATAGTTAATGATTTTATGTAGAAATTTACTGTTAAGTATTTTACTATAAGAACGCATAGAAAAATGATTTAGTTATAAGAACATAGTATAAATAATTTTCTATAAAAATGCATATAAATGATTTTACTATAAGTATGCGTTGTAAATTATT